GACATTCAACAATCTGCACAGACTTGCAACCCTCATATTATTATCTGGCTATGATTTAAACAAACATATCTTTTGATATGGGTGTGTTTAATTTATGCAGACTATCCTCAAATCATATTCCCAACAAATATTATTTTACTCATAAACTGGAAAAAAACAACGATAAAACATCTTGTGGCAACCCATGGTTAATTTTTTCTTAAGGATTTGACTCATTCTCGAAGCACTATATTGGGTTTGTTGGCAATAAAATATGAATTTGCATAACTGCTTAATCAATTGGCATTAGCAAACTGAGAATTTTTGTTCCTACCATGGAGGTCCGGGGTTGCTCGTTTCCAACATTCTTCAGAATATCTTGTTTTGTGTACAGAAGAAAGAAATTCATAACAGTCTAGAATCACTTGAAGGTAATGGTAAATGGCTTTATCGTAGCAAAAATGTGGTAACTGTAAACTGTAAGAAAATCATATACTGTATTAAACAAATAAAGAAAAACTTACCCTTCTTCATCTTCGTTTTCAACAAACCTGCATCTTTCTGCGTGCTCTATGAATTTATCCCAGTCAGTCAGTCAGACTCCTGATATGAATTTTCGCAGGCCAGATTATCACAAAACTACTTAATAAAAATGTGATACACAATCCTAATCGCACTGCAAACAATTCTACAACTTCCCCTCAAATATTTTACAAACAGATATTGAATTTAAACTTTAGGTGCTTTCACACTAGCACTTTTGGTCCGCATCCAGGTTCGTTTGACGTCATAGTTCTTTACGTTTAGCTAGTGTGAACGTGTCTTCTGAACTCGGGTGCACACCCGTGAACCGTACCCGAGTCCGCCTGAAAGAGGTGGTTTGGGGTACGGTTCATGCCAACTCTGGTACGATTCACTTTTGATTTGAATGCAATGTACCAAATCACGGAAGTGAGCCGCCAACCGCCAATCCCGTTAGTGTGTGTGTGTGTGTGTGTGTGTGTGTGTGTGTGTGTGTGTGTGTGTGTGTTTGTGTGTGTGTGTCACGTTTCGTACCTTGGTGACACGCGCGGGACTGAGCCAGGGCAAACACAGTGATGTCTGCTTGTCTCCTCCAAAAACAGCTTCTGCAGACACTGTGGGATGTTCTGAATGTTTATAATATGTTTGCGGCTGATTGCTTTCTGTATGTCCAAAACCAACAGCTTTAGTTAAAGTGGAATGACTTATGTGCGAAAGTATTTCCATTTCGGCGCTTGCTTTCGTGACCGTCACCTAGCAACGGCCGTAAACAAAACAGCAGCTCGATGACGCAAGCGTACCCGGGTTCAGAAGGAAAAGACAGTATGGACACAAACCAACCAATGAGGTGACGGGGAGACAATCGAACTTGAGTACGGTCCAGGCAAATGAACCAAGTGTGAAAGCACCCTTAAAGGTGCAGTAGGTGATCTTTTACAAAGCTAACAGCTTAGCATAAATCTCTGAATCACAGTCCCTCCCCTGTCGTCTAGTGCCACACCTCCTTAAATACGAGCACAGCATAAGAACCCTCTCTTATGTGTTAAAAGCAAGTGTGCCGCAAGCCTACGTTTGAGTGAAGGTTTCGGCCGTTAGATCGCCCCCTGGGGGCTGGCTGCAGTACAAGTCATAAAGCCCGCCTCCTCCGTGTTAATGAAGGAGACTTGAGCCCAAATAAAAAAAAAATTACACTTGCAATAAAATGTCCCGAAAGATAGTTCTGGTCGATTAAGGCACTGGTTATTGTGCTGAAATAGGTGCAGATCTTCATTTTTGTAAACAGTTTGTTTTTAGCAGTAATTTAATGCTGGGCGTGTCATCGTGATTGACAGCTGTGATTGACAGTTTCTCAAAGCAGCGCATCTGAGCTTCGGCAGGAGACTGAAGTAGACTGAAATGTTATTATTCGATTTCTGTGTTATTTTACCATGACAAAATGAGTTCAGCAGTAAACTATATTTTCTGACATACATGATCCTGGTGGAACACTGTTTATTCGCTAAGTTCAGGGCTTTTTTCGGGCTTTATTAGTTTGCTGATACACGCCTAGCCACCCAGATAGCAAAACACAGTTCCGGCTAGATTCTCGCCTGCCGGAGACTTATCTCTTAAGCCTGGTTTATACTTCTGCGTCAAGTGACCGGCGCAACTCACGGCGCAGGCAACGCGCGTGGCTGTGCATTTATACTTCTGCGCGCTGTCTCCGTTGGTCTGCATTAACACTTCCGAAACGCTAGTGGGCAGTGCGGTGTAAATGTTCCTCTGTGTCGAGTTTTTTTTTTTTTTTTTTTTTTTTTTTATTATAGTTTTGAAACATTACATAAAGTAAAAATACAACAATTGAGATATATATTATATCCATAAACATTACTATAATTACAAGAATCAAAATTAATGAAGTAATATATAACAGGAGAAAAAAAAAAGTATACAAAATTGCAAAGGAAAAAAAATAAATAAAAAATTAATAAATAAGATAAAAAAAAAAAAACAAATATTACAAAATACTTCTATACATATAAACTAAAATAATAACTTAGGATACACTCATCGACTACAGCGGGGGATCAGAACTAGAAAAAAATTCCTTCATGAAAACTAACATTAAATCATTCTTTTTGTTTTTAATTTGCATTAGAGACTTTTTCAGATTTTCCATTTCTAATAAAAAAATATTACATTTTGGTACACATTTCGCAAATTTCTGTTTATGTATAAAATATTTACCTTGTAAAATGTAGAAGTTAACAACATACTCGAATGTTCTTTTTGTGTGTGAAAAAGTGCAAATCACATCCTTTAAAGATAGCCTGTAATCTCTGTGTCGAGTTTCTTCGCTTCTGTTTTGCTATTCTGAACACTTCCTGGATGTACAAGTGACTCAAACTCGCTCATTTTGAGGCAGGAACCGGCGGACGTGCAACAACTTTAACTATGAGGTAAACACAGAACAAAACTTTTCATCCGGAGCTCCTTCACGGGACTCCACACTTGTAAACAATCGCTCGCGCCATTCGCGCGGCTCTCGGTCCCGCCCAGACTCGTCGGCGCTAGCAAGCCGACCAATCACAGAGCTTGCGCTACGCGTTGTTGCGACGTGTAGTTACAATTTTTGAGAGGTGCACGTCAGTGACGGCGACGGCAACGGCGATGGGCTATGCGTCAGCGCCGTAGCATACGCTGGTGTTTGACGCAGAAGTATAAATCAGCCTTTAGAGCTCAGACTGACTAATGTTACCTGTGCTGGACCTACTCCGGATGCCTGGACTCACTGCCCGATTCCAGTCCGAGTCAATCGAGCCAGATGCGGCGGCCGAGCGAGGAGGCGCTGCCGCATGCGAGCCGGAATCAGCCCGCGACGCCGCGAGTAAGTTAAGCCTGATTTATACTTCTGCGTCAGGTGACCGGCGTAACCCACGGCGCAGGCAACGCGCGTGGCTGTGCATTTATACTTCTGCGCGCTGTCTCTGCCGGTATGCATTAACACTTCCGAAACGCTAGTTGGCAGTGATGTGTAAATGTTCCTCTGTGTCGAGTTTCTTCGCTACTTTTTTGCATTTCCTGAACACTTCCGGGATGTACAAGTGGCTCAAACTCGCTCATTTTGAGGCAGGAACCGGCGGACGTGCAACAACTTTAACTATGAGGTAAACACAAAACAAAACTTTCCATCCGGAGCTCCTTCACGGGACTCCACACTTGTAAACAATCGCTCGCGCGGCGTCGCGCCATTCGCGCGCCTCTCGGTCCCGCCCAGACTCGTCAGCGCTACCAAACCGACCAATCACAGAGCTTGCGCTACGCGTCGTTGCGACGTGTAGTTACATTTTTTGAGAGGTGCACGTCAGTGACGGCGATGGCCACGGCGAAGGGCTATGCGTCAGCGCCGTAGCATACGCCGGTGTTTGACGCAGAAGTATAAATCTGGCTTTATGCGCTGCGGCCTGGAGCTGGCGCGATTGAATATATAAAACCCTCATATTTGTTAACGTTATTACATCCATTTGTGTTGATATGACAGCAAACGCATGCTGAGAAGTTCGGGGGGCGTAGTTGATTTTACATAAAGCGTTTGATTGGAAGCTCGACTCTGCTCATTTTCGCGGCTCCTCCTCTGGCTCCATCAGACAATCCTTCTGCGCATGTCTGGCTCCAATTTCAGCAGTCTTTTGCGACAGTTTGTGCCCGTCAAGCAGGCGTTTTGCCCTCAAGGCGTTCAATGGGGAAAAGGGCTGTCGCGTCGTCCATATTTTTTACAGTCATTGGTTAAAAGCGACTAGTGCTTGTCCTGCGGCGAGCAAGCCAAACTGACATGCTATTTCAGAGTGAATATCAGAGTTGCATAGTAAACAATATAAGGAGAGACTAGGCGGAATAGCGCTATTTACTTGTGTTTTGTTGTTAAACTAATTAAAATCTACATCATCAATACTGTAAAAGGTCCCTAATGGAACTGAAAATAGTCTTATCAATCTTTTATTGAAAGATTTTAGTGGCTGAACAACACTTCTGTGAAGATATAACATATGCTAGATAAGTTGTTAGTTCATTCTGTTGTGGTGACCTCTTCTATCCCAAATTGCACACAATAATGTCCATCATCCGTATACCTCTAACCCATTTCAATGATATTCAGCAAAAATAAGCAGGATAGAAACCTACTCATGAATATTATGACGTTAAATCTATTAATATCAGAAAGCTTCGATAAAGCGATGGCACCCTCGTGTGTCAAGAAAGGGCAGTTTTCCTTCTTGGCTGAATGAGAAATGTTACATAACATGTCAGCATGCTCACAAAAAGTGCACGACGAGCAGAACTACTCTCAGGAACTATATGCCCTTAACTCGTAGCATTCAAGAGAATAGCATCTTAGCATCCTATTGTTAGCCACATCCAATTGAAACTATGTATGCACGTGAATAGCAGTGTGCTTTCTCGAAATATAAACAAGAGGCGTGGCGGAGGGCGGAGCTTAGCAGTCATGCATTGCCAAGTACTACTAAACTGATTTACAGTTCAACGTCGCTCCAAGTGTGACATAATATAGCTTCGGACGCTTTATACACGCAATAAATGACTTTATAAAAGGAACCAGTGTGATGAGTGGGCTGTAATGTGACACAAAGAGCTGTCAAGAAGGGGGAGGGTCCCATTACAGCAGAGGTGAAAAAGCCCACGAGTTGTTCTCCAATGACAGCCCTGGTCTTACATTTGCCTTTCCAAAGTTGTACATTCGGGGTCCTCCTCCAACGTGGCGGTGTCGAAGAGAAGGGTAAAATATTGCAAGGGGGATTGAACGACTGGATTATAAGCCGAATCGATAACACTGAGTCTGCCAGTCGAAGATTAGCAGTTTAAACAAAACAAAAACGACCACAGTGAATCTCCCTCTGAAACCAGCTGCGAGGTAAGAGTCGGAGAACTTTGTCGCTGCAAGTTTTCTTCTCAGTGATCGTGACTGTAAACTTTTAAAGTACGTTTCTTTTCAATGCAATGCAAATGTGAGGTTTTAATAGTTTTTCAAATAGTTTGTATCCAAAACGCAAAAACTAACTAGCACATTATTTGCAAATTGAGGTTGCTTGTGTATTCGCACATTCGTTTAGTGACAACTTATGACATGATTATTTTTTTAACCGCGGTAAAGTTAAAGTTAGATTTACGTTTGACATACTTTATACATTCGGTTTCAAACCAATTAAATTTCTTGCTCCTGTTATAGTTTGAGCCAAAAATATGTCAGACAGACATAAATGTGTGCCCTTTATGTTGCACAAGGCTTCATTTCTCGATTACAAAAATTAACCATACGAATGAGTTAAACAATTCAACCATATGAAATTATAGAACCAGTACCAGAATGTTTAGGAAAACATCCTGCCTATTGCACAAGACACTGTTTTTTTGGAATTAGCAATTTATTTTAGAATATTTTTTAAATCACTTTTAATGTAAAAAACAGTAAAATTCAATTAAACTCTGACACTATTTGAGATAAAATATTCAAATCAATTCTAAAATTGCTTAAAATATTATTCTCTATGGTGCACAAGCTTTGTTTTTTTACAGTTATGCCTTTGCTGATTTTATATACTGAATCCATATTTTCAGTATACTGGATACCCTGTAAACACTTAAATGAATGAAACTCTCACACTGTTTGAGATAAAATATTCAAATCACCTCTAAAATTGTCTAAATATTATTCTCTATAATGCACAACTTTTGATTTTTACAGTTATGCCTTTGCTGATTTTATATACAGTACTGAATCCATATTTTCAGTATATCAGTGACACTGCTAACACTTAAATGAATAGAGAATAATATTTAGAAATTGATTTGAATCTTTCATCTCAAATGGTGTCAGAGTTTAATTGGTGAAGAATCGCAATCGCAATTTGAAATGCGCAACGCAGTGGTGCAGTAGGTAGTGCTGTCGCCTCACAGCAAGAAGGTCGCTGGTTCGAGCCCCCACGGGGTCAGTTGGAGTTTGCATGTTCTTCCTGCATTTGCGTGGGTTTCCTCCGGGTGCTCCGGTTTCCCCCACAGTCCAAAGATCACCTGTGTCCGTAGTGTATTCACGAGTGTGAATGGGTGTGTATGGATGTTTCCCAGTGATGGGTTGTGGCTGGAAGAGCATCCTCTGCGTAAAAACATGTGCTGTATAAGTTGGCGGTTCATTCCGCTGTGGCAACCACGGATTAATAAAGGGACTAAGCTGAAAAGAAAATAAATGAATGAATTTGAAAGGCTGCGATTAGATAAAAGCAAGAGGCTGCAATATAAAATGTATATATAAAAACAAGAATAACAAATAACATCTCAGGTGAGGGCTTCAAAATCAATCTGCTATGCTTCAGAAAATTAAACATGCTTTCTGCTATGGTGTCATGAGGCATCGCAAACATGGTATCGATTGTCGTGAACTATGCCACATTACACGAGAAGAAACGATTTAATCTTGTGTCACGACGTCCATTTGTTGTTTACGACTCCCCGCGATACCTTATGTCAAGGAAATCATGCGGAAATCATGTGATTTGACCGGGGCTTTATAACCAGCCAATTGAGTGAGCACACTTTCGTTCTGCCCTGACAAGTAGGGTGATGGCGTCTGCTGCTTCAGAAGCGTTAATAGATGGATTAAGATAAAAGGAAAAACAGCATTTGTAATATGGGAATATTTTGGTTTTAAAGTCCCAGAAATCGAACAAAAACAGGTCATTTTAAGAGCAGTCGCAGAATTGTTGCCAAGGCTTAACGATTATAGAGCTGAAGCTTGAATTAAAATTAAAATCAGCTTGAAGCTTGAATTAAATTGTAAATCAAATTGCAATAGCAATATCTGTCAAAAATAAATAAATAAATAAATAAATAAAATAAACTAAAAAAACGCAATTAGATACTTTCCCCAAATTTCACAGTCCTATTACAGTACTGCATATAAAATCAACAAAGGCATGACTGTAAAAAACAAAGCTTGTGCATCATAAAGAATAATATTTAGACAATTTTAAACTTGATTTGAATATTTTATCACAAATGGTGTCAGAGTGTAATTTAAAGGAGAAAGTAGCCTATGAATGTGCAAATATAAAATCATCTTTATTCTAATTGTATATGCATTTGCAGAATCTCAATTTTGACCGGGCTATTGGATTTGGTGCTTAATACATTCACTCGATTATGTCCATACACACGTTTCTGTTTATCTGATCACATTTGTTTAATTTAGTCAGCGTTTACAGTTTGTTTAGAGCTTGTATGAATGGATGTAAATATACTGGTGGTGGGTGATATGCTATTTTCATAGTTGCTTAGAATGGCATGTTCCTAAAATAGTGCCAGATGCCAAATTTGCACCTAGCTGGTGATGTTGCAGAATATTTCAGCTAAAAATACAGCATTTTTTAATAGTTTAGTATGAATGCCTAGAGAATTTGAGCTTGCTACACCGTCAGATAAGTCAAGTTGAAATGTGTTTATAAGACACTACAATCACCACACATATGAGAAAAAAACGAATCTTAAATAAATACTAAATGAAACTTAATAGTTTGATAGTTTCAGTAACAATCAGAATCAAAATAAGAAAGAGCTTTTTTTGCCAGGTATAGACATACATACAAGGAATTTGTTTTCGTGACAGAGCTTCTACAGTGCAACAGAACTAAAGAGACAGGACAAAAAAGGCAGACAATAAATATATTTTAAAAATAGAAGTAAGTAGTGAATGCAAATATACAAATTGACAAGTGTATGCACAGGTATATTACTATAAACATCAGTAACAATGCATTATATTTAGACATCTTAAATATTATTAGCAGCAGACTGAACTAAATCTATCCATCCATCCATCCATCCATCATAAACTGTGTATACACAAGCATAAACATAAGTTCTCAATGAATTTGTCTAACAATATTAAGGTACAAAAAATGGAATAATCACAATGCAAAAAAAGCTCTTCCTTTACTTTGTCTTGAAGAAATTGATAGTTATTATCCATAAAACTAGCTAAATTACCCGATAATGTGGTAAGTAAAATAATCTTGTAGATGTTGAAATTCTAAATAGGAAAAAAAAATTTTGTTGCATAAATCGTATTAATTCTGTATAAGTAATAATATGAAATAAACCTCCGTATATCATAATTTTTTGTACTCAAATGTTCTAAACTCTCTAGAAATGTTCAGTCACAGGCCTTAAAACCACGTGTTCTGAGGCTCCTGGTCAACTATAAGTCAGACTTAACATTGCCTTATTTTTATATTGTGACTATTGCAGATGCGCACATTGCCATATCGATGCTCAAGCGATATACTCTATTGTACAGCCCTAATATATACTTTTTAAACAAAGGTTCTTTATTGTCATTTATGATTTCAACTAGGGCTATGCGATTAATCGAATTGCAATCGCGATTTAAAACATTGCGATTAGCTAATCACAAGAGGCTGCGATATGAAATATATCCGCTTGTTAAGTGGTGACGTGTTTGTGACGTATCTAATACTGTTTCCGGGTCCAAGCCACCATTCATTTAAATATAAAGTCATTGTGTACACAACAATCTCTGGGCTTGCTGCATAACAAATACCAAAAATTTAACAATTTATAAAAAAATTTATGACTTTCTGGCCATCGGATATTAGGCATGGACATATATACTCCGATCGTGATTTTCAAAAGCATTAAATAGCTTTGTAAACATTTATTATTACCATTTCGTGAGTCTCCCCATTCGATTGAATAGAGCGCTTGGACCCGGAAGCCGCTTCGCGTGACGTCACACTTAACAAGCGGATATATATTTATTATATAATTTCCCCTCCCAGAGCTAAGGCGTGACTGCTGTCTATGTGTGATATTCTAACTATCCAATTAAAAAAGCACAATTTTGTTCCACCCAATCAGAATTTTGCAACCGAACTATGCGAAACGTCCACAATAAAAAACAAATAAACAAACAGGAAAGTGCGGACGAGTGGGATGATGACATTTGCCTCAGAAGCATTAATAGACAAATTAATATCAAAGAAAAGCAGGACATCGGTAATATGGGAAGCTGGGAACATTTTGATTTCAAAGTCACAGCTGCCACAGCAAGAGGAACTACAACAACCAGCACCTAAAAAAGCACCATAGGCAGCTATATGAGGAGCGTCTTGCTAAAAAGTCAACTAAAAAAAGTATTGCCAGTGACACTCAATCTAGTAGGAAACAACAACAAAGTACAATTTCAGAGTTGTTTCATTCATGTTTGCTGAGTGTTCTGTATTATTATTATTATTATTATTATTATTATTGTTTGTATTGTAAGCTACACTATCTCCCTAATGTGAGTTCAACATGTCTACAGAAAAGTAAGGTCACTTTATTTGTGTTTACTTTTTGCTGTAGAGATAAATGAGTGTTTCATTTCTGAATATTTGAAAACAAATTTGAATAAATGTTTAACTTGAGTGTGTTAATATCTTTTCAGTTCTTTTTTTTAACTAACACTCACTGCATTTTAGCAGCAAGAAGCTATGATACAGAGTACTGAGCTGAAGCTTGACTACAAAATTAAATCTCAAATCGAAATTGCAATATCTCTTAAGAAAAAAAAAAAATCACAATAAGATATTTTCCCCAAATCGCACAGCCCTAATTTCAACATCCAGAGCAACTTTTATTCCACAAAAGGATTCTTCTAGAGTGAAAAAATGTTTTTAAATGTTATTTAGGTTATTTTAAATGTTATTTGTAAAATGTTATTAAACACAATTCTTCATAGAAGTGTTCACTTAAAACTTCTTTATAGTGAATTAAAAAAAATTCTGGTTTTGTAACTCGTTAGAAACTGTTTTTTTTAAGTGTAACATAAATAGGGGTTATACAATCACCAACAAGAAAGCC